TTGAGTGAGGCACATATATAAGTAACCTTATTTGAGAGTTCATTAATTCAAAGTTTTTATCAAGTTAAGAGTTGGGGCATATGTATTTGCGATTACTAGAATTTATCTTGATTATTTAAGTGACTTGAGGCTTTTCTTGTTTGAAATCACTTTTCATGCACGTGGTTTGTTTTTGCTTATTTGTTGTTCGGGGACGAACAATGGTTAAGTTTGGGGGATTTGACATGCGTCATGTTTACGTGCATTTTATAGTGATTTTCGTGTCCGTTTCGTCGTAGTTTAATATATAATTAGTTATTATGTAATTAATTATTATATAATTACTTATGTATCTAATTAATTTTATTAAGCTATGATGAAGTGTTTCATTTGAGTTTTGACAGAAAATGGGTTCGAAATAATTTACGGAGTTGAAAACGACGAGAATCGATTAAAACAACATGCGGGATGTGCGTGAATTGAAGGAAATCAACCATTTACAACATATTGGCCCAAGAAATAAACCAGCCATTATATCTCATTTGATGTTTGGTGTGTTGGGCCAGCCCAAGAACCATTTAAGTGAGGGGCAAACTGGTCATTTCAAGACCAAAGTATTCATCTCTTTCTCTTTCACGATAGTGCAGCGTAAGATTTCTACCATTGTTGAGCTTTGAGCTTTGAGCTGCTCGGTTTGTCCACCACTTCGCCGCTGCACAGACGCCGGAGCTCGCTGAACGCCGCTGTCATCATGTTGCCGGAGAAGAAGCTTGAAGTTGTTATTCGCGCCGGAGAAGAAACAGATCACCTTCACGTCGGGCTGAGGAGGGCTAGCCGGAAAGTGGCTGGAATCCGCCATGCGGGGTACCTGGGAGACCTCTGTTCATCGCCTGACCTACCTGGTGCGCCGGAAAATCGACCAGAACATATTTACGAGCCAAAAGTGAAGATTTGGAGCTGTAATGAACTCCCAGGTGCACACGAGTTGTGTGATCTCGAGACATGACTCGTGTCGTTCCGAATGGTTGCGCAAACTGCTCTCGGCATTTTCACACGACTCGTGTGGCTAGTGACACGAGTCGTGTGACCCTGGGCGCAGCCAATACGCGTTTTACGCGTTTTCTCCTATTTTTAGGGATTTTCGACCTATTTCGTCTAGGACTCGACTACAACTATATATATAACACTTGGACACGTTTTTGAAGGGAGAACCTAATTTTCAGATCTTTGGAGAGCTTTGGAGGCTAGAAACACGAGCAAGACGAGGGAGAAAGCCCGGGAAGAAGGGATCGACGGAGCCGAATAAGCTTTTTCTTTCTTTTTCTTTTCCTCTTTCGAACTCAATGTTTTATATTTATTTTGAAAGCATGTTTCTAGGCTAATTTATTTTGGATTCTAGGATTTGTAAGTACTCGGATTGATTTATGATTTAGTTTTTATTTATTTCATCCCGGTTTATCTTTCGTTTATAAATTTCTTGTGCGTATTATTATTGTGTGAGTAGACGGCCGCTATGGATGCATATTTGTAATTGATTTGAGACCGAGAGGAGATAATTGATTGCTAGAATTGGGAAATTTATAACGTAGGAGACTAAACAGACCGAGAGGTTGATAGAATCTTACGAGAGAGCGAAAATCCTAGGAACTTATGGGAGTTAGTTGTTCATCTTGAGACCAAGAGGAGATAGATAAAAATTAATATCTACGATTTGCTTGTTTGAGAGAAAAGTTGAAATCAATTTAGTGATTATCTCTACGATTGGTAAAATTAAATAAGGTTTGTATGAATATAAACGTTTCATGAATTAATTCCGAGGAAAGCAGAACCTAGAATCTATCTTTTATATCTTGATTTATTTTTATTGTTTTAGGTAAATTAGTTCTTAGTTTAATTTCATAGTTTAAAATCATCATCTCATTCGTTAGTCTAAATAATATTTAATCGTCATTATTTTAGTGCTTAATTAATTTAACTACAATCTTTGTGGAATACGACCTTGCTCGCCGCTTTCTGCAGCTACTCCGTACGCTTGCGGGGAGTAAAAATATTTTGCGAACACCGTGCCGCTGTCGCGAGATGGCCAGAGCCCCAAACGTTCTATTCTGCCGCGCCGCGCCACTGCTCCTCGCCGCGAGACCTAATGCGTTGTACGTCCACTGCCGCGCCGTGAGATGGTACCGCGCCGTGCTGCAACTTCTGGCCGCGCCGCGAAGCCTTGTCACGCCGTGAAGAGATTCTCCTCCGCGCCGCGGCAGGCAGAACGCCGCGGCGTCTGTTGTCTTTCTCATTATCCGCCCAAATTTCAAGGCCGCGGCCGCGGCGAGCAAACGGATCTCAGCGAGCAGCACTTCAGAGCACAAAACTCGCGGCCTCGGGATGGTTCACGGCCGCGAACCGATATTCGCCGCGGCCCGCGGGCCTCTCCACGGCCGCGACCCTCGCGTTAGAACAGATTTTAAGAGCAGTTTCCGAAAACGATCGGATCATTCTCTCCCTTGGGGGAGACGAACCCTAGCCCGAGGAAATACGATAAAAATTCCATTTTGTTTTCTCTTATCTTCTTATTCTTCATTTTTCTTTCTTCTTTTCATCTTTATTTTTCCTTTTTATTTATTTTTTTTGGATTAAGCATGTATCTCGACTTCAACACTCGAACTCGGATTGGAATAATTATAAGCTTTTCTCTCTTTTTTAATTCATGAACAATGATTAAATTAGGAGAATCGATTTATCGCGTTGAATTCATGTTACATAGCTGATCTTTTGTGCTAGGGATAGGAGATTGATTGTTCTTGTTTAACTTGTATTTGTCGGGCTTAAATTGTTCTTGCTTATGCGAGTTATTCTGATTAGGAATTGATGAATTTGAACTTGGTTGATTGATATAATCGAAAAGTAACATTTCGATCTTGCAATTGGTAACAATTGAATGTTGATTAGTTGAGTTAGGGTTTGTTGATTCTACGTGATTAGTCGATTAATTCTTTTCTAATTGAATTAGCGACTTTTAGAACCGAAAGGGGAGAAGTCGTAGATCTAGGCTCGCATGAGGTAGATGAGTTCGTAAATAAATAATCTATGTGTTTTAGATTGAAATATGTGCTTGTAGATGACCCGCCCCTTGTTACAAAAAGTTATTGGGATTGGGATAATTGACTTGTATTGTATGCTCGAACTTGCACGTCTATGTTTAATCCCTTGTTACGAAAAGTTATTGGGAGCGAACCTCTAGATGTATAAGCATGAGTGTCAATCTTGAACTGAACAATTGAATGCCCGACTTTGCTAAAACTTGAATTAATTATCCCCGATTCTCTAGCTTCTCCATCTTCGTTTCATCTATATTCTTAGGTAGATTTACATTTTTGCATTGTTATTTATTTCTTAGTTGATAAATTATTCATCCCCCTTATCTGATTAGAGTGTTTAAGATTTTATTTTCTTTTGTGTGTGATCGATACCATTTCTAAATTCCGAACAGACTTCCTCGTGAGATCGACCCGGGAACGAATCTTTTGATTCGGTCCTCGGTAAAAAGAATAATTTGTACACAACAATACATACGAAATAAAGTAAAAGAGTTGGTACTTAAGCCTCTCATTGTACACTTAACTTTGGTCGAGAGCCATATTTTAACATAAATGTGGTTATTAAGTTGTCTAAATATTAAATGATCATTCTTTTTTTACTAAAACTGCATAGTGATATCATAAATGCATATACTCTTATGTATGATATATCTCTATCTATGAATTAGTGTGTTACCCCTAGTTGGTTGCTTAGTTTTGCTACTTTAGGATGGTCCAATATTTTCTATTTTTGCATGCTAATAGGTAGGTATTTACTTGTGATGTAAGAATTTCTTCTAAAAAATATATTTTGATATACTCCGTCTCAAGTATATATCTATTAATACAAAAGAGTGAGATTGAAATTTAAAAATTCAGAAATGAAAAATACACATTTGGGTGATAAATTATGAACCATTTGCACCTTCTTCATCCACTTGCTTCGAACGTCGGAGTGAAAATTTGCAAGCATCAATCGCATCTTCACTTGATATGAAAATTGCATCCTTGCCGATCTTGTCGACGAAATTTGTAAGAATCAGTTTGTCCATGACATCGATCCTTGGGTTAACCAACATCATCTGCAACACCAATAGAAACATATATGAATGGCTGAGGTTATGAGTACTGGTAAGATATGTAGTTATTCAAGCTGATGCTATGCACTTCAAATATATATGATGGTTAAAGATGAAGAGAAGGAGACATGTGTATGTTGTACTAGTAAGTGAATACCTTGATTCCTTTTGTTTCTAAGTTTCTTCTAATTTCGAATAATGATTCAACTCCTGTATTGTCGATTGCTGTCACACCTGCTCGGTGCAATAATAAATGTTTAGAAATTATGTCATTTAATGAAGCAGATTGAAAAATAGTTCAAAACAAGACATTTCAAAGCCAAATAGAGAAGCGAGCATGAAGAAATGGTCACCTCCCAAGTCGAGTAAGACATATTCGATCTGATGGTTTGCTGGGTGTTGTTCATCTCGGACCCATCTCAAGATCCTGGTCACATTAATTAATTAAGAAACCTGAGAATTATATAATCCGCCGAATGAATGAATAAGTTACCTTTCTTTAATGTAAGTAGCATTAGGAAAATAAATAGGGGATCCAAGCTTGAGAACAAGAAAGCCCGGCGGCAGAGTAGCATGAGGGTACTGCTCCACATCACGATACAAGTTGGAGTTTTGTATGTTTCCAAGCTTGCAAACCGGAGGCCTTGCCACGTACAATAATGCCCGTACCAAAGAAAGTCCAACGGATATGATGAGTCCCATGTCCATGCTTATGAAGCTAACACCAAAAAATGCTGACATGCAAATGATGAAATCGAACTTGTCTGTCTTAAAGAGGTGATAATACTTTTTATACTTGATCAACCCAAGCATTGCTGAGATGATAATTGCCGACAGAGCCACCTGTGGGGTGTAGCTGAACACAGGGGCTAACACCAGAAGCACAAGCAACATGCACAGTGATTGCACGATGTTTGCCATTGGGGTTTTGCATCCCGCGTTAAAATTAACTGCCGTTTTCGAGAATGGACCTGCAAAAAATATTTAATTCATTATGTATAATATATATCCATTGATTTAAGATATGAATAATAATGATCAGTACCAGTGGTTAAATAGCAGGAAGTCATAGATCCAACTATGTTCATCAGCCCATACGCAATCATCTCCTTGTTCCCATCAACTTGGTCATTTGTTGCTAGAGCAAAACTTCTTCCAATGGCGATACCTTCCTGCAAAACATACAATGGACGAGACACACATACACACACATGCACACATTTATTTTGGCTTACATGGAAGTTGAAATTTACATTATAACAACCTTCAATGATCATTCCATGCCCCCCAGAAAGAATATGAGGAGTAAAAGAGATCATGAACTTTGTAGTTTACTAACCGTGAGAGCAATCAAACCAGTGATAAGTCCTGCTTTCAATGGAGCAGATATGTACATGGGATCGAAGTTCCAACGATCAATAGATGGTTGGTTTATTCCTTTCTTTAGAATACCCACCTGAAACCCATACGCCCACATCCATAAAAACTCAAATCCATTCAAAACTACCATTTAAAAAATTGAGGCTCTGAGATGAAATGCACTTTTCTTGAAGGCTAGGCTTCAGGCCGATACAGTTTTGTTTTTCTTTCGTTATATCCAAAAACACAACACCGACAAACACATTCACAAAACATTAATTCAAAATCATACCATCTCACAACACCCACAAACACATTCACAAAACATTAATTCAAAATCATACCATCTGAAATTTCATCACTACCGCATGTTAGATCATTTTCTTAGTGACAACATTCTCGTTTTTTAAATTAAAAGAAAAAAAAATCCAACAAGTTATTTACAGCGAATTTCTTTTATAACTCTCAAGAAATTACAATTTTTTGATGTGAGATCGAATTTCTTAAAAATAAAAATGGTGATCTCTGGTCCAAAAATGATGATCGAGATGATGAATTGGATTTTTCATAGTGAACTGGTAATTTCTTATTGAAACCCGTATGGCCATTTTGAATCTGATGAAACATTATTTAGAATTAAAATTATTTTGGTCGAATTAATATTGGGTGTCTTAAAATATTCAATGTATAAAGTTTAAATATCTATAAAGGGCAATTTTATCAAAAATGTCTACAAATGATTTGCTAACTCCACATTAATGTCCAATCATGCACTAGATTAACTAATTGATGGAGACGAGATAGCTTCATTATTTATTTTCATTGTTATTTCTCTATTATTTTAGTTATTTACTTTATATATTTTAAAGCTTATTGTTATTTTTTTATTATTATAGTTATTTATTTATATATTTGATAGCTTATTATTATTATTATTATTATTGTTATTATTATTATTATTATTATTATTATTATTATTATTATTATTATTTAAAATCCTTGTCTTGTTGAATAAGCTAAAAATCTAAGTTTTCTAGGAGAGTTAGGATTTTTAGAGTCTTATTTAAAGACTCTCTCTCTCTTTTTGTGTTTAGACAGTTAATTTTGAATAAGAAACTACGTAGTTGAGAGATAATATTTTTCTCTTTATTCTCAATCGTATTCTGCGCCACATCAGATGGTATCAATGGTCAGCTACCATCTACGATCACGTGAAGATGTTGCAGACAACAGACGTGACGCTACCATCGACAACCTGAGCCGTCAGGCCGAGGGGCTTGGCCATCAAACCGAGATGATGGGCTGTAAGATTGCAAATTTGTGAGCGACGATTGTGGAGATTCGACTGGCTCTTTGTACCATTTCTCAGGGCAAGCACATGAACCGTGACATGGATAGCAGGGGGTGTGGACGCATGGGACTCAGCGGTGGGCTTGGCGGACGGGGCATTGGCGGGGCACCCCGTCAGCGTTCGCCACAACCATATAGCAACGATGTGGAAGACAAGGATACCTTGTCAGAGGAGAACTTGTTTAGCATTCGCATGGCTTGGAGGGAGGACATGGCCTTCGGTGATATCCATTTTTGCGAGGACCGAAGGGAGGCTGAAGGTTTCGGCGACCTCTGTTTTTGCGAAGCTCCACAGGCTGGGTCGACATCCTGTGGAACAAGCACATGCCTGGCGTACGGGAACATGACGACACATGGGCATGACGTTTCGGTGAGGATAGCCAGAGGGGTTGGGCGTGCGGCAGCGTCCAGTATTGGCGGACAGACAACGACAGCTATCGGTTTGGGCAGTCAGACCGTAACTGCAGGTTCTTCAGCAGGTCCCAAGGCTGCTGGCAGGATATTCTATTTCATTATGAAGAAATGGGCCATCGATAAGCCTCATGTCCTCGGTTCAGCGGATCACGAACTTTGTTCACGGAGGACACCGACGAACAGGTTGCGACCAACTTCTACAACGGACCGCCGATCTTCGATGAGGACACCTTACCGATGATGTGGACAGGACCCTCGTCATTCGACATTCTTTTTTGGAACCCCGGGCTGTCGGCGGGTTTGCGGCGCTTTTCTTGCGGTGAACTCGTGCTCTGCCAGACAGCGTGTCCTCGGCCGGGCAGTTACCGCAATTTATTTTTCGATGCCGACGNCGAGAATGCCGAGCTTGCTTATTACTATACCTAGTAGATTCTTTATGAGGAGCCGAAAGATGAGTATCATGTGGCTATAGAATCATCAATGAGGCCGGAGGCACTCTCGAGCTGAACTCTGTCTGTGGTCCTCATCATCCACTGACGACGTGGGCTTATGGTCTTTTGGTTGTGGTGCTCTACCATACAAGAGATTTGACTTAGTCTACAATCTGCCAGCAAAAAGATTTAGATATCAATAACATGAGCTTGGCCTTGATTATCCGGACACAATGAATAACTATGGGGATTTTGTTGTCTTTTACTACATACTCCAACATATTGGGCTTGCTTTGAAGTATGTCAATCGGGCATTGCATCTTTTTAATTTGACTTGCGGGCCTTCTCATCCGCATACTGCTGCTACCTATATTAATGTGGCTTTGATGGAAGACTGTTTGGGGACTGTCCATGTTGCTCTTAAGTGTCAGTCGCATGAGTCATTCAAGTGTTGCCATAGACTTCTAGGAGCTGCCCACATACAAACTGTTGCTAGCTATCATGCTATAGCACTTGCTCTTCGTTTGTGCATGATCGGGGAAAACTGCAATTGGATGGCGAATCTTTTTCGACCGGGGAGGATGATGGAAATGACATAGCTTAATTATTTATTTCCATTGTTATTTTTTTATTATTTCCCTTATTTACTTCATATATTTGGTAGTTAAATTAATTATTATTATTATTATTATTCAAAATTCATATCTTATTGGACAAGCTAGGAATGTAGGTTTTTATGAGTCTTAAGATTTTTAGAGTCTTATTTAAAGACTCTTTCTGCTTTGTGTTTAGACAGTTGATTTTGAATAAGAAAACACGTAGTTGAGAGATAAATTTTTTCTCTTTATTTCTAATCATACGCTGCGCTACATCAGTTGGTATCAGTTCCCACCCACGATCAACGATGCTGCCGCGAAAATAAGATGTTGTAGACGACAGGCGTGACGCCGTCATCGATAACCTGAGTCGCCAGGCCGAGGGCTTGGCGCTAGTTCGAAACGATGGGTTTCGGATAGCGGATCTAGCTGCAAGGATCGGGGAGTTCGACTGGATTTCCATACCATTATTCAGGGAAAGCACATGAACTACGACATGGCCGACGGGAGGGGGGATCGCGGGAGACTCCGCTGTGGGCGTGGTGGACGCGGCTTTGGCGTGGCGCCCCGCTAGTGTTCATCGCAGCCGCATAGCGGCGATGTGGATGATAAGGATACCATGTCGGAGGAGATCTCATTCGACATTCATCTGGCTTGGCGGTAGGACGTCGACTTAAGAGATCCCTATTTTCGCGAGGACAGATGTGAGACCAAGGGTTTTGGCGACCTTTATTTTCGTGAAGCTCCACGGGCTATATCGATGTTTAGTGGAGCTGGCACGAGCCTGACATACGGGCATACAATGAAAAAAGGGGCGGGTGTTTCGGCGAGGATGACGAATGGGGCTAGATGTACGGCAACATTCTGTGTTGGAGGACAGACGACAGCAACGACCGGTTTAGGCGGTTAGACCATGGTTGCGGGTTCTTCAACAAGCACTAG